CCCCAAAACCCCAAAACCCCAAAACCCCTCATTTTTGGCAGAAAATTGAAAATCATTTCTCACACTTTTTAGTGCACAATTCTCAAAGTTGGCTTGAATAATCATTGTCACGAGACAGTAACATTCACCTTGATCAGAACTTCTTACAGTTATTGCACATATGCTTTGATCACTTCTGACACTTAGTATAGCTCACGCTGTTCCTACAAATAGTTCACTTTTTATTCAGCAAAGAATGTGAAGTTCTGTTTCTCTCTGTCATCTTTACCTCCTTGATCTGATCAAGTTTTTTAATATACTGCCTGATATTATCATTAATGATAGAATTTTCTTTGACTAGGGAATTATACATCTGCTTCATTAAATTTCGCTCATTCTCCTTATATCGTATCTTCTCTTTGATAGCTGTTACCTTTTGCTTGTGTTCTTCGAGAACCTTTTTGGTCATCTCAAGTCAACTGTGGGTTTTAAGTTCCTTCCTCATGACATCAATTTGGCAATCTGGACACTCAACTTCAATGTAGGGTCAATCCTTAAATATGTTCATTATGCTCTTTCTCTAAGGCCTCATGACCTCAATGTTCATAGGCTGGGCATTTATGTAGGACAAATTTGTGTCAATCATTACTAAAATGATTTAGCATTTTAGTGATCTTGATACCTTTCTTTGTACAAAAGAGACAGTCAAACTCAAGAGTAGTTAGAACTGATTCGTCATTATACTTGTAAAGTCCTTTCTTAGTTGGTCTTATTTGTTCAGTCCCAGTTTCAATTTTCTCTGTGTATTCTTGCTTAACCTTGGATAAAAGATCTGTTAAATTTGTCTTGAGCACTGAAAAACACCAGTCGTTAAAGCACCCACGAGGTCAATTATCGTATTCTGATGATCAATTAGGACAAAAGGCTGAATGGCATCGAATTCACTGATAGTACTGGTCATAAATGTTACTGCTTCAGATGTAGCATACTTCATCACTGCAAAGGGAACTTCATATTTTATACTGAAGTAAATTTTGTTTGAAAACTAATTTTAATGTTCGAAGATCAGCCATTTTCAATTATCCAAATCCTTTTCGGGGTTTTGGGGTTTTGGGGTTTTGGGG